CTACATCTGAAAATGACTTAACCATTTACTAACTAAACATAGCACCTCTAAACAAGCTAGAAAAGCATCCTCTATATGTACACACACGCGCACAGTCTCACCTGGATGCATCCATTCTTGAAGACAGGTACCTTCCAGAGGCGAGCCTCCCTCACCAGAGCAGCCTCCAGCAGGATGGCCAGCCGACGGCTCTCCGCAGCTCCTGGGTTCTTCATCGCCACCACAGCACAGGCCAGGCTGCACCCAGGGCACGCACACACCTGATGGAGAGGAGGAAAGAAGATTAGAGGTTGCAATGGGGACAGATTGGCCTACACTGAACTAAAAAGGTCCCTTAAAAAGTCAAGCAGTGCACACACACACACCATTCAAAAGGTCCCTTGAATTCACTCAGAGGTCAAACAATAAGAAGCATATATTCACCCAGCTGTTGTATATTAAGAATTGCTTATTTAGTGCACATTTCACCATCATATGAAAGATCTGATGAGGTTTTGAGAGGGAAGACAACACAAAAGTACAAAAGTTCAGGAGTCTAAAACAGATCCAGATCAAACCTTTAAGTTTGGGGGGGGGGGGTGAACTAGTTTTACTGTGCATGTTTACTCCGTTTTGGGCGCCAGTTCGTATAATCCTCTGAACAGTTGATCAGAGCAGAGAAGAGCTGAGTGTGCAGCAGGAAATAGGTTATCGCTCAGTTTTTACAAACAACATCGCCATTTTTTTCAGACTTTGCAGGCAGACAGCGCGGGATTGAGCAACTACACTTAAATGCAAAATAAATAAAAAATCATTTATATGTGACTTTTTCTTCCCCCCTTCAATCCGCTGTGGGTGGAATACACACACACACACACACACACACACACACACACACACACACAGGATCCAGGCGGGATAAAAGGATTAGATTATATATATCACATAATTATATATAATCGACCATTACACATATCTGAAATGATTTATGAAAAAATGTAATGACCTCATCTTCTCGAGTAAAACACATTCTAATTATACACCAATATAGTTGACATTATTACAACCAACCCTAGCATATAAAAATTGTTTATTGGGGTTACATAAATAATCATTATCTGATACACTATTTTAAATCATTATACTATAACTAAACTAGCACCCTATCACTAAACATTGCTGCTTATGAAATATAGCATCCTTTAATATGTACACAACGCGACGTCATGCCTAAACAGTATTTTAGCACCTTAAAGTCAAGTTCTAGGTCAAATAACTTCAATTACAGACATTAATTACATAAATGATCATAATCACTGGCCATTTTGTCTGTCATCCTCAGTCCACCTGGACTCGCTTCTTCTCTACTGGAAGTACATCGGTAAGCGTTCCAACCTCTCACGAAGGAGCCTACCCCTCAAACCACAAGAGCGCCCTCCCAATAGGAATGGACTAAGAAGATATAGCAGCTTCTCTGGGTAATCTATGCAAATTCTCAGACAAGTCGCAGTACAGCAGTGATACCCACTTAACGTGATCTTGCCGTACTCCAGGCATGGGCTGTCCTCCATTCTAAAAAAGCACGAAACACTAACCCTACAAACAAAGAACACTTACATCAGAAACCTTAACCTAAGAGGATAGTAACTGCACAAAACTAGCATGGTCAAATAACCGCATCAACAACTGTGAGTAGGAGTGTATGAAGGAATAGAGACATTATTGAAGACGGATTTCCAAGATGTGTGGCATCTGTATTTGGCCTAAAAAGATATACTTGATCATAAAAAAGGTTTAAATGATACGGTCCAGCGATGCTATCATACCATCATAAATCCATCACTTTAAAAAGGGGCTTATAAGTTATGGGTGATACACCACTACTTGAATATAAACTGAGATAAAAGGAGTGCGACTTTGATTTTATCACACAGACAAGGATAAAACACAATATTGGAGAGTCATTTGGATCCATGAATTCCTACACAACCCCAACAGCGTTGGCTATGAACATTAAGAATTGCTTATTTAGTGACATTGGATCATTTATCATGAGGGAAATGAAAGAAAATACAGATAGCGCAGCGATATTGGCAAAAAAGCGAGAAAGAACCAAAAACAAAATACATAAATAGCTAAAAGTATCAGGCTATATTAAACAGATCCAGATCAGTAGCTCTATTCTATAGCTTCTGGAGTGGGTTGTGGGAGAACTAGTTTTCGAGTTGTCAATTTCGATTTTAACCTCCATGTTGTGGTCTGGACGAGTTTTGCTATGAATCCTTCCACTTCGAACACCACTTCGAGACACCCAATGAGAAGAGCTTGAGTGTGAAATGCAGAGAAAATACGGTGGAACTCCGATAGGTCTACCTATAACTAACAGAAAAATACGCCATGTTTTTTCGTAGCTTGTGACCAGACAGCGTGCGGATTGATTGCAAAAACTCAGCACTTATGTGGAGAATAAGAAATTACTAAATATGTTCACAACAATCATTTCTAATCTATTTTTCATCTCCCCCATCAACAAAACTCCGCTGGGGTTGAATAACGCACACACACCATTTCCACACACACACTTCACTCAGCCACAGATCCGCCAGAAACCGCGGAGATATATGTGTGACACATAGGCCAGTCTAGCGACTGCACTGCGCCTGCTATGAACGTTGACTCGAGTCTGCAAGCATCGAAAACATTTGTCTTCCTCTTTTTTTGTTGTTGTTGTTGATGTTGTTTTCCCTTTTGGGCCTGAGCAAGTCTTACTCTTCGATGTCAAAGCGGGATGCGTCTCGGGCGGCAGGTGCATTTATACTGTTTTCCCAATTAGTCCATAATCACCGAAAAGCAGCAAACAAACAACAAACAGGTCACTGACCTAGTGTTTTACGACAAGCAATACAATCTCGGTGGAATGTGTTTTGGAGTGAATGTACGGAAGGCAGCCGCATTATACTATATATAAAAACCAACACAAACAAGAAAATGTTTAAAAAGCCGGATATTCCAATAACTGGGCAGTGGCGAAATAAGGCGCAAAAAAAACCCCAAGGCACGGAGCAAAGATCAGGGAGGATTTGAGGGCAGGCTGTTGTTTGAACGCTCCTGGCCCCGCCCACTCAGCTGACGTCAGCACGTCTATTAAACAGATAATGTGTTAGTGGGTCAGACATACGGGACCCTCGCACAAAATGGTCGAGCTTCCGTTGGAAATGGAAGCTGTGTGCTGTGTGCTGTGTGTGGTGCTGTGTGCTGTGTGAAATGGGAGGGTATTGATGTGAGTTCATCTGCTGAGAGACAGACTGCAATGTAAGCATGACTCCTTTTTCTCTCTGCTGCGAGCAATGCAACCAGGCATCATGTTTAATGCATCCATGGCTTAAAGAAGGGTCGTCTGTATGAGGCTGAATTCCTTCATCCACTGCAAAGATATCAGATCTTGAGGTTGATCATTTCTGGTGTTGTTTACTGTGCTTGTTCGACCCGTTTTGTCAATGTAGGGAGGAAATTCTAAATCTTTTACATCCTGACAGCAATCATAATCAATGCTCTGAAAAGAAGAGGAAAAAATGTGTAGCAGTCCTCAGGTCTGTAATAAGCCCGCCAATCTTTCATCGCGCCGGATAAAGATTGGCTGGTCACTCCTGTGTACTTCCTTCCTGCCTACCTCTGGCAACTCATTGCATAAGCAAGTCTTTCCATAGTCTGCAGGCAGTGTACTGCAAAAGTGGCAGAGGAGACAACCAAATGTAATAGTTCCACCTTTACTACAAGAGTGTCAACTGCTACACAAAGCAGGCAAAAGAAACACAGTAATCAAGTAGAAAAAGTATCAATCAAAAGTTTGGATGAAGAACAGGTCAAACCAGGTGCACAGTGGTGTGGCTTTTTCAAGATGGCGAGATTGAGCGGACAGGTTAGGCTAATGATTTGATTTGTTTGGTTGCGGGGGGGGGGGGGGGGGGTTTATTTTCCTTAACTATTTAGTATAAAAATATGTAATGGAATGATTCAGACATGATTCTAGCTCAGTGAGAACATTTTCATAATGAGTTTTACGGTTCAATCTTTAGTTTCAGTCTTTCTTCAAAACAGCAGGATGTTCATTTAGTAAATGTGGTCCAGTTTAGAGTACGCTGCAATTTTTTCGGTTGAATACTTTTAAATCTAGCTGTCTCTTAAAGTCTATTTAAAATCTATTAAAAAACGATGAAATTGAGATTTATAGCATTTAATTTAGAGTAAATAGTAGCATTGATAGCACAGTTGAACTGTATGAGCTAACCTGAGGGTAGGCGGATCACTCTCGGCCCCAGGAGCATAGAATTTGTTATTCTTTTAATAAATTAACTATTTTGTTTGGTTATACTTAAGGACGACAAGACAATATAACTTGAAAGATAGGGGCTTTAGGGCAGGTCCTGCATGTATTATCTAATCTGGACACCCATGTGATGTCAGAATTATTTTATATGTAATTATTTCATTTCATTACATTAATTGATTATATAATTATAACATGGAGGAATTAGCGCTTGGTTTCACACATTGCACAGATAACAGCCGTGCCTTAGGCAGGGGGGGGGGGAGGGGGGGGGGGGGGGGGGAGGGGGGGGGGGGGGGGGGGGGGGGGGGGGGGGGGGTACCATTGAGGTGGCACTTCGTTCATTCCTATAAAAGCTTCTCAGTGGCGCAGTGTCACTTTACTTCTGTAAAAAAAATTCCCCAGATGAATGCATACCAGAGATTCCATGCGGGCTGGCTAACTGTTGAATTCAGCCATCGCTAACTTGAAATAGAGATAATAATTATTCAATCGTGTTGCTCTTGTAGACTGTCCAAATGTTATCGTTGAATGGATCAAGATTCTGGGTAGTGTCAGATCAGTTTGCTGGGGTTGTGGAAGCCCAAGAAATTATCACCATTGTACAGCTGCTTGTTATACATTGTTAAGCTATGAAAATTTGTTTTTTGGGCCAGTGGTGCCAACATGTGGATGACGCCGTTGGTTGTAATGGGGTTTGGGCCACTGTTTGTTCAAACTGGCTTTCAAATCCTTGGCGCTTTTCTGGGGGGCTTGGACTGACAAAGTAACCTACGTGTTGTATAGCCTGGTGGAAAAGTTGAGGTGGACCATGTATACTGAGCC